AGGAAAGTCCTAAGCATGAGGCTGGAGAGGCCACTTGCACAGAAAAGCCCCTGGAAATGGCCTGGATGAGCCTGCAGGTGGGGAGGGGTGGGGCCTCCGGGGATCAGGGGGCGAGGCCAAAGGTGTGAGTCAGGTGCTGGCGACTCAAACATGGCGCCTGCCTGCTGGCTCTGTGCAGGGAGGGCTCCCCAAAGGAGCCATGGCCTCTGCCAGCCCTTCTGCCTGGGAGGAAGCTGCCCTCCGCCTCTCGCCCGGATCTCAGGCAGGTCAGTTCCTCCCCGAGTGTCCCGGGTCCTTTTAGGCTGCTGCCCGGCGCTGGGCTGAGGGAGCGTCCGAGTGAGTCCATGTGCGGTCCCTTGAGAGGAGCTGCTGGGGCTCCTGCAGCCTCCGCGACCCTCAGTGACAGTCCCCGCTGGTTTCATAGCCCAGAGTTGTGGGGACGCCTCTTCTTGGTCCTGGAGCCCTGGGCTGGGGCCTGCTGTGGGGCCGGGACCCTCACTCCCCTGGGAAACCTCCGCCTCCGAGATTCCCTCCGGGGTTTACCCGAGGCACCGTGTGTGGGCCTGAGGCCCCGTCTCTGGGATCTGGCCCCAGTCCACCCACATCTCCACCCCTCCTACCGGCCTCGATGCTCCTTCAGCTCCCTGGTTGTGGGGCTTCTGTTCAGCCAGGTTTCAGGAGGCCCTGAGCGATGGTGGTTCTGTACTTTAATTGTAATTTTGATGTGGTTGCGGGAGGCGGCGGGTACAGCTGCTACCTACGCTGCCAGCTTGTTTCCTACGTTTCTTAATAAATCTCATTCTTTTAAGTGTTGTTATTTTGCTGGTTAAGCTTAGAACTGCTTGTGCTACTTATTTTGATCTCTTTTTATCAGCTCTTTGTTTAGGGTTAATGATACGTATAATTTATCTTTAGAAAAGATTTCCCTGATAAGCAATTATTGGAAAAACTAGCCTAGTTCAGTATAAATAAATGCCAGATAATTCATCTAAAGAAACATGCTGTCCTTGGTTACCATTTGCTGGTTACCAAGTCAAATGGTCCATGTCCGTGTCACATACCATATGACATCATGGATTTCATGTGACTATTTTGCCAGTGTTTTTTATATCTTATGTGGTCTTTACATTTAGGAACTTCCCAGTAGAGGCCCCATTTTAATTTGGAGAGCGGCAGAGTTCAGCCACT